CTCATTAAATTAGAATGTCGTGGAAAAGTTCGTTTATTTCAGTAATTCAACTCAAATTGTGAAACTCGTGTATTAAATAAATTCAGTGCACACAGACTGAAGTAGTTTAAGTCTTTGGTTCTTTTAATTGTGATGATTTTGGCTCACATTTAACAAAAACCCACCAATTCACTATCTCAACAAATTAGAATATGGTGACATGCCAATCAGTTAATCAACTCAAAACACCTGCAAAGGTTTCCTGAGCCTTCAAAATGGTCTCTCAGTTTGGTTCACTAGGCTACACAATCATGGGGAAGACTGCTGATCTGACAGTTGTCCAGAAGACAATCATTGACACCCTTCACAAGGAGGGTAAGCCACAAACATTCATTGCCAAAGAAGCTGGCTGTTCACAGAGTGCTGTATCCAAGCATGTTAACAGAAAGTTGAGTGGAAGGAAAAAGTGTGGAAGAAAAAGATGCACAACCAACCGAGAGAACCGCAGCCTTATGAGGATTGTCAAGCAAAATCGATTCAAGAATTTGAGTGAACGTCACAAGGAATGGACTGAGGCTGCGGCATCAAGAGCCACCACACACAGATGTGTCAAGGAATTTGGCTACAGTTGTCGTATTCCTCTTGTTAAGCCACTCCTGAACCACAGACGTCAGAGGCGTCTTACCTGGGCTAAGGAGAAGAAGAACTGGACTGTTGCCCAGTGGTCCAAAGTCCTCTTTTCAGATGAGAGCAAGTTTTGTATTTCATTTGGAACCAAGGTCCTAGAGTCTGGAGGAAGGGTGGAGAAGCTCATAGCCCAAGTTGCTTGAAGTCCAGTGTTAAGTTTCCACAGTCTGTGATGATTTGGGGTGCAATGTCATCTGCTGGTGTTGGTCCATTGTGTTTTTTGAAAACCAACATCACTGCACCTGTTTACCAAGAAATTTTGGAGTACTTCATGCTTCCTTCTGCTGACCAGCTTTTTGTAGATGCTGATTTCATTTTCCAGCAGGATTTGGCACCTGCCCACACTGCCAAAAGCACCAAAAGTTGGTTAAATTACCATGGTGTTGGTGTGCTTGACTGGACAGCAAACTCACCAGACCTGTATTGTCAAGAGGAAAATGAGAAACAAGAGACCAAAAAATGCAGATGAGCTGAAGGCCACTGTCAAAGAAACCTGGGCTTCCATACCACCTCAGCAGTGCCACAAACTGATCACCTCCATGCCACGCCGAATTGAGGCAGTAATTAAAGCAAAAGGAGCCCCTACCAAGTATTGAGTACATGTACAGTAAATGAACATACTTTCCAGAATGCCAACAATTCACTAAAAATGTTTTTTTATTGGTCTTATGAAGTATTCTAATTTGTTGAGATAGTGAATTGGTGGGTTTTTGTTAAATGTGAGCCAAAATCATCGCAATTAAAATAACCAAAGACTTAAACTACTTCAGTCTGTGTGCATTGAATTGATTTAATACACGAGTTTCACAATTTGAGTTGAATTACTGAAATAAATGAACTTTTCCATGACATTCTATTTTATTGAGATGCACCTGTATAAATGCAACAAATGTGACAAAGCCAGATCACTTTTATCAAGAAAAAACCCTCCATGGTGATGTTGCAACATGTCACTCACTAACAGGGACGATTAAGTCTTAACACTGATTTATACAAAATCACAATCAAACTTGTATAGTATACTCTTGTACCTTCACTATTGTAAGAGAGATAACAAATGGGAGTGCAAGGGGCATGAATATTGAAACAGAACTAAGTTTAATCATCTCCCTCATCCTCTTATCTTCTATCCCTTCCGTGTCAATTCTCAGCTGATCTTGCCAATGGAAATGCATTGTGCGTACCGGTAACCAAACATCTGAGCTTTTCACGGATCTCCAAGAGCATCAGCACGCTCTACTGAACTTAGAGAATAGGCAGAGAGCTTGTCAGTTGCAAAGGTCTTTTCTCGATGCTCCTCACAAAACGACCTCAACAGCAGGTAATTATGATGCTCCAGTGGAGAGCTAATGTAATGATCAACCTGATCCATTTCAGCTCTACTTTATCATTGCACCTCCATAGACACGGCTTCTAATTCCTATTATTATTCTTATCAAAGTTCTTCAAGGACAAAAAGGATAATGCCAACACTGCTTTCACTCAGGTGACTTATGATTAAAGCGCTATGTGTTTGCAGCTTCAGGTTTGCAAGTTGAGTTTGTCTGAGAATTCATGGGAACATTAAAGTTGTGGAAAGACATTAATTATTAAATTAATTTAAAAAAACAATCCAGACAGAATTTTGAACACATTAGTGAATGTTATGATGCTCCAGTGGAGAGCTAATGTAATGATCAACCTGATCCATTTCAGCTCTACTTTATCATTGCACCTCCATAGACACGGCTTCTAATTCCTATTATTATTCTTATCAAAGTTCTTCAAGGACAAAAAGGATAATGCCAACACTGCTTTCACTCAGGTGACTTATGATTAAAGCGCTATGTGTTTGCAGCTTCAGGTTTGCAAGTTGAGTTTGTCTGAGAATTCATGGGAACATTAAAGTTGTGGAAAGACATTAATTATTAAATTAATTTAAAAAAACAATCCAGACAGAATTTTGAACACATTAGTGAATGTTAAGATCTCATAATACCTTTCATATATACTGCACAACACAAAAATATTAATTCAGAGGAACTGTTGGCAATTCCATGAACAGAAAAAGAAAAAAAGAAAAAAAACAAATACACCTAAAAGAACTACAGCAGAATATCAGATTTCACGTCATGACTGACTCTGGATAAGCATTCGATGACTGAATAAATGAACAGTTTTATTACTCAATAACTCTGCATTCTTACCTTCTGACGGATCTCCTCCTCCATCTTGATCGGTGAGCCCAGTTCAGCGACCTGTTTGACCCCTTCACTGGCATAACCTCCAAATTCCCACAATATATAGTTCTTTGAATGGGAAGCTCCAATGAGGGCTGACCAGTGATTGGCTCTCCCTGTGAAGATACATAAGTTCCAATTTATAAGAATGATACATGATAAAATTACTTAAACAATTAGTAATTAACCGTAATCTCTAGCTTCGGGCTAACTGTCATATGTGCATACATGAGACAGTGGTGTTCCAGCAGATGACATAGGTGAACGTGGTGACGAACGCAGAAGCACAGAGAAAAGAGCAAAAAAATACACCACTAATGAGTTAGAAGTACACAACTAGGATTTGTTACGAAAAATGTCGATTTTGTTTTTTTCATGTCTTTACATTGTTTAGAGAATAAAAAAAAAAGTAAAAAAAAAAAAAGAACATTTTAAAATTATATTTCATTCATAAGGTATGCTATGTCCTTGGTAGAGGACATCGGGACTAAATTTAAAAAATAATAATAAAAAGACATGAATGAATATGCATAGGCAAAAACAATAGATTTTTTAAATCACCAATACATTTTTAGATTTCAGGATTTATTTATTTTTTACCAAACTTTGTATAAAGATGATTCTCAACTATGTTAAACAGAATGATTTAATATACCATTTTTCTTTCTGCAAAATGTGTGTAAAATGGCCATAAACGTGTTTTCTCATTATATACAATGTATCTATAAACTAAATCTAATTTGCATATTAATGTGTTTTTGGGGCAATATGTAATGAAAAAAGAAGTGTAATAATGGGAATAATATTTGACAATATTTGACATTTTGATTTTCATAATAATATATAATATTTCATATGATATTGAAACATAATTTATTTCCCTATTCATTTGTTATGTCTCCCAAAATGCTAATAAACATGCTTTTAGTCCCAGTGTCCTCATATGAGGACATGTATGAAATCAACATCCTGTTTCGTAACAGAAAGTCATATTTTGATTTGAAACCCCATAACAAATTAATATCAGACATATGTGAAGACCAAGGAGAGGGTGTGGTCATAGTGAAACATCCAAATATTTAGTATCTCTGAAAAGCCCTGAATGTGCTCTGTACAGGCCATCCAGACTTAAAACTGTGGCATGTATAGTCTCAGAGAAATACACCAAAATATAATGTCCTCATATGAGGATGCAGGGTCTCAGGAGGTTAAGATGAGAGGACACTGGTTTTACTTTGTTGTAAACAAAACTTGGTATTCACGAGACTTACATATTCCAACACGTTCTCACTCCCAACTCGTCACATAGTTGTGCGTCCCCCTTGGCGTCACTTTTTGAAGAACAGGGTACCCCTTTAGCATAATTTTTCGACGTGCAGGGTCCTCCATTGCTTTAAATAAGAAACCCTTTTCTTCAATTTGCCGACATGAAATTTACTGGGAATTTTATCGTCATGATTAAATTACATATTGGAAATTAAATATTATATTATTGCATATATATTGGGGTGTGATTTTTCAATGTAAACAGTCAGAACCATTTTATTTATATTACACTATTTACACATTTATGAGCACGTAACCCATCCCCTGCCCCTATAGCAATTGTCAGTAAAACACAATATATAACTGGCAGATACAACTACAGTCATAATTTATTCAAAAAGTATTAATCCAAGTCTTCCAATGCAAAATGATTGATTTGTGAGAGGAATAGATGCTATTACCGTCTCGGTCCGTAAAGCTCATCCTGCATGCACACAGTCAAAAAACACAGCCAGAAGAAGCCTTACGTCAGCCTTGGTTGTGGAATGCTATTGGCTCTTGTGTGTCTCGTGACCGTTTGTGTCGTGCTATGGGAGTATCTTTCTGAATGAGATGTGAGCGCATTAAAGGATCATTTTCAGCAATTAAAACCATATGTTTTACTCTCTTCTTCTCAAAAAGATATCAAATGGCTTCAAACGACTTGGAATGCAACAACTTTTTTTGTAATGCTTTTAATACTGCTTTTTTATGGTCAGTTTTTGCAATATATATCTGTGACTGTACTTATTTTTTCCTGTTACGTGTTTTATATTGTTCAGAAGTTGATAGTTTTGGGGTAGGGGTGGGGTTAGGTGCTCCAATGAAAGTATACATTTATATAAAATTATTTCAATTTTTTACAAATGCATGCGAACCATTAAATTAAGACAAACAACTGAAAACCACAGAGGACCCTGCATGTCGAAAAGTGACGCTAAAGGGGTCCTGACCAAGCATCAATATGTGACGAGTTTGGAGTGAAAACGTGTTGCATATTCTCACCGGAGCTCATGCTATGCCTATGTTCTATGTCATCTGCTGGAACACCACTCTCACGTGTATGCGTGCATGACAGTTTATAAAGTTGTAATTAAAGATATATTTTTTTACACAAATGCATCGCTTCATTTCAGAAGGCCTTTATTAACCTCCCGGAGCCATGTGGAGCACTTTTTATAAGGGACGGACACACTTTATTTTGCTTCAAAATCTTGACCACTACCCACTGCCATTAAAAAAGCTTGGGAGAGCCAGGGCAATTTTTTATATATATATAACTCCGACTGTCTATAACTCCGTAATGTATTTGGAAGTAAACGTTAGCCACATTTCAAAGACAAGTAATTTTGAAATTACATATAAAGATGCACTTAATAACCAACTTAAGATGGGAGTTAGGGAGCTAATTGAGATGCCCCCAATGTCCAGTTAAAATAATGTATATATATTTTTTCTTTATCCACTACCTATTTCCATTATATCACTCCTAATAAAACTGTCAAAAAGGGCAACAACAATGTCAAATTATTATTGCAATTTCAGAAACATGCAGCCACATAAATATTAATCTCAAATTTTCTCCAAATGAATAATTTATGTACAAAACACTCCTTAAATTTCATGGGATGGGGTTCATACCACTCATTTGCAAAGAATGCTTAGTATAGAAAGTCAACCACTGGCACAGTGGAGGCATCAGTCAAAATGTGACTCTAGTCTCTAGCACACAGAGAGAGAGAGAGAGAGAGAGAGAGAGAGAGGGA